GAGATCACCCTGAAATTTTAAGCCTCAAATTCTCATATTTTTGAGGTAGTTTAGAATCACACAAACACTATAACTGCTATCAAAATTAGCAACAAAAAAAAAAGTTGTTGCAAAAGCACAAGAAAAGATCCTGAATATCAAAGGATAACAACTTTTTTTCATGAAAAAAGAACAGATTATCGGCAAATTCAAACTTACCCATCCGTAAACCGTAAACATGCAACCAATAGTTGGTCTAATTGTGATTATYGTCCACTGGAAACACGCCTTAACTGGCCAACCCACCCATTGGGATTTGTTATATTTTATAGTATTTCAGGAGAGAAATTCCCTTTAAATTTCCACCAAAAGAAATCCCCAAGAAGCTCAATCCAATGGAATTACATTCAAGTTTGGCAATTTAGAAAGTACGTTTCTAGAGGTTAAGATATCAAACTTTGTGAAGACAGACTCTGCTTAAAGAGTTCCATGGGGTATTCATTTGAACTTGCAAAAATCTTCCATTTCAATGTCCGCTAAAGCTTAACCATTTTATCTCTAGAAAATGTCAAAAAAACACTAGCAAAACCCATAAAAAACAAAAAAATTCAAGTCATCCCCCATAGATATACTCATTTGAACTGCTCCAGAGAGTTCCTAGTTAAGTGGTCACACCGTCACATTAAGTTTATTGTCTGAACTCATGTAAGTTATATAATATCATAACCACTATAAATCACGCCTATGAGGTTGCAAACAGTAGTAGTGTTTCCTTAAAACTAAGTGTTGGGTTGACCCAGAAAATAGTTGTATGCATAGAGTTTGTGACTGGACTAAGGGAAAACTTCTAATCATATAAACCCTAGATCTTCTAATTCAAAAATCAATTTTCTCATAAAAGTTTTTAACTCTTCCAACAAGTAAAAATGGAGAAGTATTGAAGGTTTCAACTCCAATGACGGCTAATGGACGTTCATATTATTTTCAAGGTATGCAAGAAAATACGTATCCAACGTAATATCAAAGATTTAATTACACCTTCAATCCCTCAAACCTAAAATGCTTTTGTGAAGAGGATGTTAGTATTGATGCCACATTGGAGAATCATGTTGCCTCGTCATGTCAGAATATACGCACAAAAAACACACCCTTTTACATGGAGGCAACGCAAAAACTTATTTATTCCTTAATGGTTTAGACTACTTTGGTCGCATTAAGTAAAGCAAGATAAGGCTTGATCTTAAGTATATGCACATTTCATACATTTTAAGGTGAAAACTACGAAGAAATCTTTACCTTTTTCATTGGTTTGGTATTAAACTTTTGTAAATGTGTTTGTATATATGTTTGTGTGTATATATATATATATATAGAGAGAGAGAGAGAGGGAGGGAGGGAGGTTAGGGGAAAACCCCAAAAAAAAAAGATTGAGGAACATTCTGATAACCGTTCATTTGGACCGTATGCACATGTGCAAACAAGTAATTGAAGTTGTTTCTTGGTTTTCTATGCACGTGTGCATGTTATGCACATGTGCATAGCGGAGAAATTGGGTTTAGGTGCTAGTAAATTGCGTAAAAATACTTGTATGCACATGTGCATACAGTGCAGATAAATGGTTATCAAGGTGTTCCTCGGCTTTTCACTTTTTTGTGGTTTTCCCCTAAACTTGACCCTATATATATAATTCACACACACGCAAATGCACCCTGATATTTTAGAGTTTCAAATTCTTAGACCCTCCTATTTATGCATCATGCACCCATATTATTAAAGCATAAAGTAAAACCAAGTTAATACTTTTAAAGAACGAAATATCAGTACATACATTGACGTCATAATCAATCAATCATGTAGTGTTCATGCACATATATAATATACATCTTTAGTCAAGGCAATACTTTTAACTTTTTTGCAGATGGCAAAGAAATGCTCATATTCTTGCATTCAAGTCTTATGTTGGTTGTCAAATTCATGATATGAAAAGCCGTAACTTTACAACGTACCTGTCAATTTGCTCTTTTATTTCAGGATCTATCCCATCACCTATATCACAATCATCAAATTCATCCTCGAGTCCGAATCTATCATCTTCTGAATCTTGTAACTTCAAAAGCTCATTGATATTGGGTAGACAATGACCTTTGACCCTGTCATCATGACCCACTGAACTAATGCCATTTGATTCCTGAAACGTATGACAAATGTGTTTTATTTAATGAATTTGTTCAGTTTAGATGAGAAAGGGTATTCACAATTACTTTGCAAAGAATAAAGTTTGATGATTGACTTCTAAAATCATACTTGGCCACTCATTGCATGCAAATCATTATTTTTCTAAACATGCAAAAATAACACTATAATTTGCAAAAATGAACAATCTTGGACAAAAGAATGCCAAGTACTACGGCTGTTTTACATTTACATTTCCACAAGTCCAAAATTGCTCACTCTTGCAAACCTGGTGAGTTCTTTTTGGCATATTTGCAAGAATGATGGTTGGTTTGCAATGATAAGTCAATTATGATGGTTCAGAAAGCCCATCAACGATTAATTTTAATAATGATAAGTTCAGTTATGAACCTTGATGGCATTGTTTGGAGCTGCAGAGCTGTTTGAGATTGTGCATACAGGAGCATTCTTCTGTTGGTCCTTTCTTCTGCGATTTTTCTTTTTGTTCTTTACTGTTTTTACTTCCTTTGAATCTGCAAGACTGAATTAATTAACTTCTCTTTGACAATTAATTAACTTCTCTAGACTCACGGTTTTAAGCGTGTCCAATAGAGGAGGTATCCAGTCCCTTGTAAGGCAACCTTTGTTCTCCTCCCCAACCGATGTGGGATCTTACAATCCACCCCCCTTGAGAACCCCGCTGGCACCAGTCTGGTTCCCGGATCTGATACCGTAAGTAACACCCCAAAGCCCAAAGCAACAGACTGGCCCAATAACTTCAGATCCAACTTACAACCATGGTGGAAGTTATTGGTAGCCCACAACTTGAGGCTTATAATGAGCTCACAAATCCTATTTTCTATCCATGTGGAACGAGTTGTTAAATTAACTATCAATATATAAATGTAAATTAGAAGCATAAACAAACATTGCTTTAACAAGTAAATGACAAGCATTGAGCACCACCTTGTCAAAGAATAAACATGGAGGAACCAGTATGTAATGAAAAGCAATATAAAATATATGGATAATGTAAAAGAGAAGCAAGTATGCATACTGATGAGATCGGAGAGCGAGGGAGGTACCTCCATTTTCTCCATTGATAAATGACAGGAGTTCATCGACTGAACGATCATCTACATGCTCTGCTTCAACCTCAACATTCTGAAAATCCAAAACCCAACCACCATCAGTCTCAAATATGGCATGTGACTTTGTAGCCAAAACCTTACATACAACTCCCTCCGTCCCAAAATAAATGTCCAGAATCAAAAAGGCAGAGAGTTTTAGAAATGTATAGCTATTAAACTTTTTAATCAACTAGATGACAATTTTACACTTAATAATAGGAGTAATGAATTCCTTCATCTCATAATTAAGAGTAGAATTGGAAAGTAGACACTTACTTTTGAAAGTGGACACTTATTTCGGGACAAATTAAAACAGTAATGTGGACACTTATTTTGGGACGGAGGGAGTAACTTACAACAGATGAGCTGAATTCTTGATCAACATCCCTCCCCAACCCCTACCCCAGTGCCAGCAGAAAGACGGCATTTAGGCTTGGTTATGCATAGTATTTCAAACATTCAAAGTTACACATACATTAACAAGAGAAAATAATTGTTTGTGACCAGAAAATTTACCTTCAGTTTCTCTTTTTCTTTTAGTTCTTTCCTCTTTCTTGCATATAGTCTATTCAATAGTCGGATCCGTGGATCATCAGTTATATTTTTCAAAGGCTCCAATTTCTCTTCCTGCATCAATTTAATCGGTATTATTACTAAATGCCCGTAAAGCATATAAGTCCTTAGAAACAGTACGAAAGGACATGCCACACATATACACTACATGCAAGCGGAAAACACCTCTGTTAGATCATCGGGTATATGAAAAGTTTCACGGATCTCTTCAGGAGTTTTCCCTTCAATCATTCTTGCAAGTGCCCGACTGGTAAGATCAACTAATGGCTTTAATTGCAGACTGTCAGCAGCAGATGTTAACTCACAGAGCCTATTTGTGTCCATACGGATAAACTTCTCATCAAACGACTTCCGCTCCTATGCACAAGGAAAGGTAAGAAACCCAAGTTTGTTTTCGTTACTCGAGAAAACAGTTACATGAAATCGGGTCAGGTTCAGAGGGAAACCGCAAAAAAATGAAAAACTGAGGGACACCCCGGTAATCGTTCATCTAGACGGTGTACACATGTGCATACAAGTAATTCATAAGCAATTTGTGTTGTATGCACATGTGCATAACATGCACACGTGCATAAAAACCAAAACACAGCTTCAATTATTTGTATGCACATGTGCATACCATCCAGATGAATGCCTACCAAGGCGTTCCTTAGTTTTTTGGTTTTTTGGGGGGGTTTTCCCTGAAACTCCCTCGTATGAAATCATTATGTTGTATTCATGATTAAGCAATTAACTAGAAACACATCCATTTTTCTGTGAATAAGCAAAAGACATATCAGCTTTAAGAACATACATACCTTATTAGAGCGCCCTGGGACCTGATGAAATCGGCAATAATCGAGGATTAAACTTAATGTGACGGGATTTACTCGGGCTGGAAGAGAGATTGGATAGGTTTTTGAAGATCCCATGCCTGCATGTATCTCATGACATATCAAAGGACAAAATATAGCAACCTCCTGTTCCACTTGTTGAATCGACCCATCAGCAGTTTGAAGCCATATATAAGACCTCATCATCTGAAAAAAAGACAAGAATAGAATCATGCAATAGAAGTCAAACATCTGTTAGTTCCTGTGAATAGTGATAAACCCATTAGCTTCATGCCTTGACTTTAAGTTTCAACAATGAATTCAATATGGTTATAAATTTTTTGTAAAAGATATCAATGGTTCGATACGATCATCTTGTTTCACTGGAAAATGAATACAAGTACATACTAATTACTTACTTAAATTTGTACTGCATCATTATTTTGTATGTGAGTTTGAACACATTGAGGATTCAGATTTTTCAAAACCCCAAATTTGAGTTCAGCATTTTTCAGTAGTTGATGTCTAACAATTAATAAATAATTTAGTACATGACCCTTTAGGCCTTTTGGGAATTCGAAACCCATAAAAGCAAAGGTACATTTGGCAATCAATTTTTTGTTGATGTTTTCCAAGAACTGCAAACAGACTAAAGAAATGGTTTACGTTTTATAAAAAAAAAAGAACTGGTGTTCACAAAAACTTCTCGACATTATTTATAAAATTGTAAACATGGTTTTGATGCTTTCACATTTTACAAAACTGATTTGCCATTAAAGAAACTGAGTAGACTATTTGATTCTAATAAGATAGAGGATTAAAGCCACAGAGAAAAAAAATCTGTCGATATATTTTTCGAGAGTACAGTATTCCACCAACTAGTAACTCAGGCCAGATCTTTTTGAAAAATGAGAGAAATCAACAAGCACAAAAATCCTATAAATGAAAGATATAAAAATGGAATATTCTAACCAAGCGTGTTTCTATTCCGTCGTCCAACAAAAATCACATTACCATTTTACATAACAATGAAACAGTAACAGAGGTCAAAAGTATTTTCGCTAGTTTTAAGGACGAAAAGGATAAAGTGATCAAGTACTAAATAGAACTCCTAATAAACATAACGAGCCTGAGTTCAAACAGTAACAGAGGAGCCAAAAAGAATCAAGTATAAAAGCGAATTGAAAGCAGAGAGTGGATATGGAGAAAAGACGGGGGAAATCATATGTGATACCTCAGGTTTAATCACATCCGGTTCTGACATTATGCCAGGATAATAAATCCGCTACAAATGGATGGCACACTGATAAGTATAACCTGTATTCAAGATTTTGGGTAAAAACTTTAGAGAAGAAGTTAGAAATTGACGACCCATCTGCAACACAACACCATGAACCTGATTGACCGAGTCTATTGCCAATAATTCTTTCATAAATCAGGTCAGCAAGTCGGTAAAAGCATAAAAAGACATGCCAGTTGGCAGAATTACAAATTGTTAAATGCAGCCATGATATCAAAATTCCTCATATAGAAATCACCGGAATTGCTAAAAACATGGCTGATAGTACACTACGCATAAGCATCATATTCTTTTTCTTAGGAGTCATTGACCTTTTCAGCCATCGTACTGGGATTTTCATTGCAGGCAAATGATCGTACTTCTAAAAATGCCCGAAACTTGCCAAGAATGAGTGATTTTGGACAAAAGGTAAAAGTACCCAATTACCATAAGATTTTTCCTTGTCTTTATATTTCCACAATTGTTGCTCATCCTTGAAAAATAGTGTTTTTTTGGCATTTTGGCACGAACAATAGTTTGTTTGCAATGAAAAGTCAAATGTGATGGTTCAAAAGTTGATAACTCTTTTCCGTAGACATAAAAAACAGATAAAACAACTCTATTGCAAAATCACTGACATAAGAGACTGAACTCTATGAAGTCGGTAACCATTATAATTGTAAGGGCATAGTTTCAACCTAAACAATCAGACCTACAAAGGTCACAACTTCACATTGGTTGCCATGATGACGCTTGACACATTTTAATTGTTCAGATTGTGAATCAGAAGCATAATAAACACCATATTTGTTAAATGTGCCAAAACTTTTTTTGTCTAACATCTCTGTAAACAGGTCGGTCGTATTTTGTATGACATAGACCACAACCAGAATCATATTTGAAAAGTAACCCTTTACCACATAATTCTTGAATCTAAAGAAAAAAGTTTATTTTTTAAGAATGATTTATAATGATGTTTACACCCAAATAACTACCGTGCGGGAGGATGAAAACAACACGGCTAATCAGCACCGCATAAATGTGTTCGAACCCCCAATCCGGAAAACCTTTCATTCCAAATCGATAATTGGGATGTTGAAGCGTTAGAAAAATAGTAACCAGAGAAATCTGTATAGTTCTTCCTTCTTAGGAATGCCTGCGGCATTGAGCAATAGTAATATCAAACATTTTTCACGAGGTTCCCCACCCTAACCAAAAATAATAACAAAGAAAGAATGAAAAAGAATTGCCTTTTGTAATTTGATTAATTCATGGACCAATTAGCAATAGATAACGTTATTCCTCGTAGTCCACAGAATAAATGAACTTCCATTTTTTCAACCGATTAATTTTAGCAACTAAATGAACAGATAATGATGTGCAAGAGACCAGAAAGAACATCAAACTGGTTTGTTAACATGCAAAACCCTAGAAAGGTGGATACACCACTTCCATTTCAACTTTAAAAAGACGATTTATTTATGCAAGTATTGGAAATAATTCCCATTGGTTTAACCTGATTAATTATAGCAACTAAATATATGGATATTAACATGCCATAAACAACACTAAACTCATTCAACTATTTGTAAAAAGAACTACTGAATGGAGTTCCAATCTATTTAAACCAAGTTGTTTCAACATAGATTGAAATCAGCCCCTATTGCCCCCTTTTAATTTTAGCAACTAATCAAACAGATAATACCATATTAATAACACCAGCATCGTTCATTAATCTGTCCAAAACCCTACACCCATCCATTACCAATTTTTCAAAAATGGATTTGATTCTTCAAAAGTAAGAACTCACTTTAACCTGATTAAGTTAAGCAACTAAATAAACAAGCACTGTATTATTCTAATTAGCATCAAAATCAAACCAATAATTCAACAATTTCCCAAAACCCTAGCCCTAAACCGCCCATCCATTACCAATTTCAAAAGATATCTATTCCATTTCTCGGCCGATTTCAATCAAACAAACAAAAACCTAAGAAAAACAGGCTAAACCGAAGTTCGTGACTATACAACACTGAAAAAATCAACAACTTTTACAGCAACTTACATCAATGAAACAAACCCACAAACAATCGCCAACAGACTCGAATAACAACAATTACCCATTTCAATCAACGCGCAATCTCATACATTCATAAAAATGAAAACGAGATTACAGTTTCGTTACCTGAATGAAGATCTAATAGAGATTCGAGAACAAGGGCTGTACAATTGTTGCGAAATTTGGCGGTTATTAGCGGAATCAATTAATGGATAAGAGCGAGAGAGAGAGGAGAATTTGTGTGTTTTTCCTCTATATATCTCCAATTCTACATATACCTGTGCGATACCCTGTGTGTGTGATTCTAAAGTAGGGATAAAAATACAGGGGCTGCAATCGTATCTAGCGATCAAATTTGGGGTTCGAATTGTAAGTTTAGGGTTCTTCACTTTATCCCCTTTCACATTACAACCGTATGCAATTTCCCCCCTTTTTGTTCATCAATTTTGTGTTTTCCCCCCAAAAATGCATATGATTGTAAATAACTGAAGTCGGTAACGGTTTTATGAAAAATACTGATCGTGTAAGGATCAACAAAACCCGTCACCAGAAACAAGTTTTTCTTAGGGCCGTTTACTAAACATTTACTTTAATAAGTGCTTACCGGATAAATTTCCTCATCGGATGAACATGAGAAGGGCCAATAATTTTACCGGGTAAGAGCGGTGAGAATGATGGAGAGTCTTATCCGGTAAATGAGGATGATGACTATTATCCAGGTTACCTAGTAAATTGTTGCATTCGATATGTTTTGATGTACTAAAATCTTACGCGTCAAAATAAATCGTAATGTTAACTCCTATCGGTAAGCACTTACCGGGTAAGCAATTGGGTAAACGGCCCCTTAGTCGACAGGTTATATGATCGTTGGTAGGATCATACGCATCTGAAATATTATATCTGCTTTGAGAAATAAAGAACAACTGTTTAAGGAAATAAAAGTCAACCAGAAAACACGTGTAACGTATCGTCCCAAGAATCGTTGATGAGATATGATCGTAAATGACTGAAGTCGGTAAGGGTTTTATGAAAAATAATGATCGTGTAAGATCGACAAAACCCATCACCGTAAACAAGTTTTTTCTTGGTCGACGGGTTATATGGTCATTGGTAGGATGATACGCGTTTAAAATATTATATCTGATTTGAGAAAAAAAACAACAGTTTTAGAAAGCAATAAAAGCCAACCGGAAAAACGAGCGTAGTGTTTCGTGATAATAATCGTTGATGGGATATGGTTGTAAATAACTCAAGTCGGTAAAGATTTTGTGGAAAACTAGAATGGTACTCGCGCAGTGCAGTGAAATACATCTCGATTTTAAATAGTTCGTTTTATTCTTTTGTCGATGTCGATAAAATACGGTTTTATGTGGTTTTGAGAAAATGACAATGTTTTTATTTTTGAATAAAATATAAATTTGAAGAAATAATTATCAAAAAAATAAAAAATATACCGATATTAGTAACAGGTTAACTATTTGAAAAATGTCGTTTTTGTGTAGTTTCTTTATTACAATTAAGAAGATCGAAAATGGAGCTTTAACAAGTTATATTTATGTACAATTTACTTGTAATCTTGATTTTTAAGTAATATAAATGAATAAACAGTACTTCATGCATAAAAATGTTATTTTAAGAGTTTTTGTCAAATGTTTTATTATATAGTATAGGTAACAATTATGTAAAATCAACAAAACCCGTCATCATAAACGAATTTTTCTTAGTCGATAGGTTACATAGTTGTTGGTATGATGATACGCGTCTAAAATATTATATCTGGCCTGAGAAAGAAAAAACAACAGTTTTAGAAAATAAAAGTCATGCAGAAAACAAGTGTAACGTTTCGTGCCGAGAATCGTTTCTGAGACATGATTGTAAATAATTCAAGTCGGTAAAGGTTTATAAAAGACAACGATCGTGTAAGATCAACAAAACCCGTCACTAAAAGCAGGTTTTCCTTGGTCGATAGGTTATATGATCGTTGGTAAGATGATACGTTTCGTAAATATTTATATCTGATTTGAGGAAAAAACGGTATTTTTAGAAAGTTAATGAAAGTCAACCAAAAAACGAGTGTAATTTCGTGCCAAGAATCTTTAATGGAATATGATTATAAATAACTCAAGTCGGTAACGGCTTTATGAAAAACGACGATCGTGTAAGACCAGCAAAAGTCGTCACCAGAAACAAGTTTTCCTTGGTCGTACGCGTCTCAAATATTATATATGATAAACAACAGCTTTAGAAAGTCAATAAAAGCCGATCAGAAAACGAGTGTAACATTTCATGCCAATAATCGTTGATGGGATATTGGCTCGAGAATCGACTCAATAACCGTAGTATCTAAAAAACGAGTGTCGTTAAGTCAATCCAATCAATGATTTCATTTCGACATGGTTGAATAAGCACTATATCGTTGAAAAGTTCTATACATCTGCCATTTCTCAACGCATTTCTTTAGACAAAGAATCGGTTTTGTTTTCCTCTTTTCGGATATCAAGAATATGCAAGAAAAACACTTCGAATTATCGATTAATCGCTGGCGATGGCTTAAAACCGACGATTCATCATCTACTCTTTCCGTTCTAATACTTTATCCGAGAATTATCAGTATTTATCAGATCTGTTATTATCTAACGGAATATTGTTGGATCAAATGACTTAGGGGCCGTTTACCAAACACTTATTTGGTAAGTACTTACCGGTAAAATTCAATACTATCACATGCTTGTCGGGTAAGATTTTAGTTCACCAACACGGCATCATATACAACAATTTACCCGGTAAGCGCTAACTGTGGTAAGAGTTGTCACCATCACTTACTGGGTAAGACTCCCGGTTCTTGCCTTCGTTCTTACCGGATAAGATTTTTGATCCTTGTCATATTCATTCGATAAAGTAATGTGACTTAGTAAGTACTTACCCGGGTAAGTGTTTAGTAAACGGCTCCTTAGATGGGTTGGGCCAAGATTATGTTTTTGCTTATACATTATATGAGGCCCATAAGTTTTGGGTCAACATTAATTAATTATTTTTATTAAAACATATTTTAGAAAATCATAATTTATATTTTTGGAAAATGACAAATTACATGAAAAATAATGTACTTTAACTTAATTCTTATTTTAGATAGCATACTTCTTGCACATGAGGTATTAGGTTAATTTGTCATTCGTACACCGATAAAGTTGTTTGTATAAATTAATCCGTTTGTATAAACTGTAAATGTTTTTACTTAGAAGAGTTTTTTCATAGATGAAAGGAGCGTGTTTTTTAATTAGAGGAAATGGTTTAGAAAATACTTGTTTTTCTACTTTAAGTTCTCCAATAAACTTATTGAATAAGTCATTTTCAATATCATTAAGTCATTACCAGACGGTAATGTATGACTGAATAAGTTGCTAGTGACTCCTACATTTTACATTTTCGATGCATGATTTGACCCGATTCTGACATAAAATGAGTGCATGTTGCATCACACTTTCCAGACCCTGTTTCAAAAGTCATTATTTTTTTATAAAAACAAATGTTTTACGATTTGAGATTGTATAAATACCATACGCCTTTTTCGTACCCCAACTCGTAGGCTATGTCGTATTTGTTTGGTTTGGTTCAAAGAAACACTACCCATCAAACAATTTTTGTTGTCGTTTGTCCATCGACCTGTTTTTGTTAATATATTGAATAATACACATTTGGCGTGCTTATTATCGAGTAATCCATTTATAATCTATCGTATCTCGTATTCTGATTACTTTTTGCGCATCAGTTAAATTCTCGAAAAAACAGTGAAGCGAATTCTTTTTATAATAAGATGATATTAATGTTATATTTGTACAGAAAATAACTTCTCGGTAATAACAAATGCAAGACTGATGGACAAAAAACTACTGAAAGATTAATTAACATACCATCTATAGTCTTTTTTATTACAAATACGATGTTTTCTATAATTGTGCCGATTTATTTTTCAAACTTTTTTCCATATTCAACCCAAAAGATTCGTCAGTTACGCATATACAGTCATACATATATATATATAGATGAGTGATCATATGAAAACCACCCTCATTTGTGTAAACCATGCAAACCACCTTCATCTGTCGATTTCATTGTTTAATCTTATGAAATTTTTTCATGAAATTGTTTAATCTTGTGAAATTGTTTCATATAATACTTTTTTTGATGAAGTTGTTTCATATATGGTTGTGAAATTGTTTCATATAATACTTAATGAAACTGTTTCATGTATTTCTCTAACATTAATGAAACTGTTTCATGGATTTCTCTAAAATTAAAATAATGAAGATGATAATATCTATGATTAACACCCGCCACAATAAAAATGATTAATCAACCTCTCATAATTACAAAAAAATGAACAAAATGAAAAATTATGATTGGTTGAATGCGGTTTGCACGGTTTGTACAAATTGAGTGGTTTGCATTTGATCGTTCCCCTATATATATATATATATATATATATATATATATATTCATCATGACTTGGGATCATGTGAGATAAGGTTGTTTATATGAGACAAGTTTTTTACACTTGAAACTTCGCAGTAAAACGTTATGAAGGTAACCTTCACAGTGTTTTTGCCATGAAGATTCGATTTGTTTTTACCTTCACAACGTTTTGATGTAAAGTTTCAAGTGTAAAAAATTTGTCACACATGTCTCACGAAAACAGTATTGCCTCACGTGAACCCGACCCATTTCATCATATTAACTACGTCGTTTTCATTTAAATTTACCCAAATCATCTGATATGAAAGGCCTGTTCGAAGCATAAAGATACGAAATGACATTCTGACAAGGGAAAATGCTATTAGTTATCAGTGTCGATGATTTTTCCTGAAATTTCAGTTAAATTTAGTAAATAGTTTATGTTTAATATAATTATGTAAGCATATTTTTAACGTCCAGTAGAAAGACGTATTATGCATTAAATACTTGTACATTTACGCATGCAACCATTGTATGTTGCCTTTTTTAGTACCATATGCATCAATGTACCTTTTCTCATAACGACATATAAAAGAAAACATAAACAGTTTTTTCGTATTTCACCCTAAGCAGACTTTTTTCATGCTTTAAACACTTGTACTTTTGTACTGTATAGTATACATTTTTCATATGGTCGTGTTTGAAATGTCATTTTGTGGAATTTTAGTGGATCTTTTGGGTCGGCCCCTTCATCGATGCTGCTCTTATTGCATTGTACAATCAAGTTGTTATCAGAGTCGTCACAT